GCCACTGCCGCTCCCCCGACCACCACCGAGTTGTCTTCTCCAGGTGCCGGAGCTACCGGCGGCTCTAATGATGCCCCCGCGGAGGCAGCAGGGTTGGAGCTGAGCTCGTTCTCCCGCTCATCCAGCGCCGCCTGGCTCTCCTTTTGCACCATTCTCCTGCCCCCGGTCGCCGCCACCTCTGCGGGTCCTCCTCGGCCTCCGTCCGTTGGGCCGCAGGCCCGGAGCCCTGGAAAGGGCTTCAACTCTAAGCACGCGCCCTCCTTTCTCCTTCCCCTCCCCCTCTATCTTTCCCCTCCCTCTCCGCAGGGACCCAAATGCCCGGATGAGAAGGGCGGCGGCACCGGCGCAAGCCTTTTGTCAGCCGCTGCCTCCGCCTAAGCTGCGGAGCCACAAGCCCAAGCAGAGAGCGAGGCTGTGACCTCTCCTTCCTTGGAAGCTGATGGCCAAGGCTCCTATTTTTGTTCTCAGCCTCGGTTGCCCTCCCGATTATCTTAACCCTTCCGCAGCTTCCCCTCAAAGCTCCTCTGTCTCTCCTCTGCCGCTGCCTCTACCGCCCGCTTCCTGTTTATCCGCACTGCGCCTGCGTTGCAGACCGGCTCAGACCGGTCCCCTCCGCCCGGCTCCCCCGCCTTCTTTGGAGCCAGCTTATTAAACTTCATTCGGTAGGGGGAAATAGAACAGAGGCGATGGGAAAAGCGGAAGGTAACAAGGGCAATGGAATGTACCATTTATGCCTTCCACCCTCCAGAATAAGCCGGACACCCTGGGACGGACCATTACCCCACCCAAAGGAGGAGGAGGCTGCTGCTGGTTGGGGCAATTGGGAGAAGGGGGTGAGGGTAAAAAAGAGAGGTGTTTACTCTCTCAATGCGCAGGCGCGGAAACGAAGCCTCTAGTTCTTAAAGAGATAGGCCGGAACTGACCTACTTTCTATGGAGATTCTTGTAATAGGTTCATTACATCTGCCAGGCCGGCACCCCTCTCCCTTGAATCATTTTTCATTTACCCATTTTTTAAATGAAATCATTTGTTTTCATTCCTTCATTCGGTTGACACCTATTGACCTTGCCTTGTGCTGGGATCTGGGGCCACTATGAGCTCACGGTGTGGGTATGGAGACAAGCAAGCGCGCACACGCAATTCCCACAAGACGTACTCAAGTGTTTTGGGAGCCCAGAAGAGGTAATGACTAACTCTTCCTTTGGGGACAGGCTGTGGCCATGGCTTCATTTTTCAGCTGGCTCATGAAGGATCATAAAGGATAAGTAGAGTTAGCCTGACCCAGTCACTGTAAGGGAAGAAAGCACTCCAGGCAAGTGGAAAAAAAAAAAAAAAAGAGTACAAAGGTAGAAAGGGGTGAAAAGCCTGGCTTGTTTGGGAGTGGGGAGCATGCAGTGTAAGGGGGCCTGAGATCTCTCGGGCCTCTGCTTAAACATCATTTACTTGAGAAGCCTTCCCAGAGCCCTAAATGGCTTTGGGTCCCTTTGCTATATATTATCAGAGCTCCCTGTAGTCTTAGCATAATGACTTTACATTTATGTTGGATGAGAAATCATGTATCAACTTGTAAGGTATAATGTGAATTTAGCATCTCAGTCTCATTGTGATTATTAAGACTCAGTAATGTCCATCTTACACTTCAATCTGATTGATTCCTCTAGCCACAGCCCAACTTGTAGCTCCAGGGACTCTTAGAGTCCCCTTTTTTATTTTTTATTTTTTTGAGACAGAGCCTCAAGCTGTCTCCTTGGGTAGAGTGCTGTGGCATTACAGCTCACAGCAACCTCCAACTCCTGGGCTCAAGCAAGTCTCCTGCCTCCACCTCCCAAGTAGCTGCGACCACAGGTGCCCGCCACAACGCCTGGCTATTTTTTTGGTTGCAGCCATCATTGTTGTTTGGCGGGCCCAGCCTGGATTTGAACCCACCACCTTAGGTGAATGTGTCTGGCGCCTTAGCCACTTGAGCCACAGTCCTCTTTTTTAGTCCTGGATTGATGAAGTGGAGTTTAGGAGCAAGCATATTCTTAGCGGACCTCCCGTGCTGACAGCTGACTCTGGGGTCCATATGCAACTTCACTGGATGTTGTAGTCCCCAGGGAGTTGGGGACTGTCATTTTGGCTGATGCCAGCCCTTGGTCTCATATTTTCCTTCTTGCCCCACATCTCACATCATGGCAATTGCCAGCAAGTCAGCAACCTCAGCATCACCTCTGTATTGTTCAAACTCTGAGGCCTGGAACCTAGATAAGATAACTTTCCCTATCTGTATTTCTTTCTTTCTTTTTTTTTTTAGAGACAGAGTCTCACTTTATTGCCCTCAGTAAAGTGCTGTGGTGTCACAGCTCACAGCAACCTCAAACTCTTGGGCTTAAGTGATCCTCTTGCCTCAACCGCCCAAGTAGCTGGGACTCAGGCACCCACCACAATGCCCGGCTATTTTTTGGTCATTGTTGTTTGGCAGGCCCTGGCTGCATTCAAACCTGCCAGCTCAGGTATATGTGGCTGGCACCCCAGCTGCTTGAGCTACAGGCACCAAGCCAAGTTCATTTGTTTTAAGACAGAATCTCACTCTGTGCCCCAGGTAGAGTATAGTGGCATCATCACAGCTCACTGCAACCTCCAGCTCCTAGGCTCAAGTGATCCTCCTGCCTCTACCTCCTAAGTAGCTGGAGGCTATTGACATGATAGTGTCAACATATCAGGTTAATTTTTTCTGTTTTTTAGTAGAGATGAGGTCTTGCTTTTGTTCAAGCTGGTCTCAAACTCCTTAGCTCAAGTGATCCTTCTGCCATGGATTCCCAGAATGCTAGGATTATAGGAGTGAGCCACAGCACCTGGCCACACACAAACCCTTACTGAGCCTCAGGGCCACTGTTGACAGAGACTTGGGGCACTTGATCTAGTCTCCATCCTGCTACACAGACTCACTGGATGACCTTGAGGAACTTCTTTCCCTTCTCTAGGCCTGTTTCTTCTGTAAAATGAAGGCTGAGGGGTAAAGTAGATCATGGATACTTAACTTGCATAGATGGACTGCAGAGATGCAAAAATACATAAAGGAATATCGTTTTTTTTTTTTTTTTTTTTTTTTTACTTCTAGATAGTGGGCCCACAGCTTTTACCAGATCTTTATTATTTTTTTTTTTTTTGCAGTTTTTGGCCGGGGTCGGGTTTGAACCTGCCACCTCCAGTATATGGGACCAGCGCCCTACTCACTGAGCCACAGGCACTGCCCTTCACCAGATCTTTAATGTGATGACCTAAAGAAACCCAAGGACCCAGGGAGCAAATAGGTCTGTTATGATATCAACAGAGAATACAGATGACAAACAACAGAGAAACAATTGAGCTTTTGCTTCCTGGATACCATACCTCCCTCCCTTGCCCTGGTAAATGTGGACAGTGAGGGAAGAGAAGGCTTGATCCTTCTATGGATGGTAAACTTTAGTCCCACATAAGGGTACCCCAGAGAAAGGATGGAAGGAACCTAACCATTGGTGGCCCCTGTCTAGAAGCAGAACAAAGAAAGAGTAGGAACACATAGGAAGTCTCTTATCACCCTTTGTGCTACCTGCCCTATAGAGATCTACCCTGCGTCCACTCCATCTGATTCTCCCATCATTATTGGCTGGGGTATGGACACAAATGTATAGTTATTCAGGAGGCGTGTTTGGGATGATTACACAGGAAATTTCATTAGAAATTACCAGCCTGAGCAAGAGCAAGACTCCATCTCTAAAAGTAGCCAGCATTGTGGTAGGTGCCTATAGTCCCAGCTACTCAGGAGGCTGAGGCAAGAGGATTGCTTAAACCCAAGAGTTTGAGGTTGCTAAGAACTATGATGTCGTGGCACCCCACCAAGGGGAAAAAGTGAGACTCTGTCTCAAAAAAAAAAGAAAAAGAAATTAAATAACCCTAACACTAAGTTAAATAACTCTAACCCTTTTGAGAACTCCTCCTCAAAAGAAAACATTTTTAAATTAATTAAGAAGTCTCGGGTGGCAGCTATGGCTCAGTGAGTAGGGCACTGGCCCCATATAGCAAAGATGGTGGGTTCAAATCCAGCCCTGGCCAAACTGCAACAACAACAAAAAAAATAGCAGGGCATTGTGGCAGGCACCTGTAATCCCAGCTACTTGGGAGGCTGAGGTAAGAGAATCACCTAAGCCCAAGAGCTGGAGGTGTTGTGAGCTGTGATGCCATGGCACTCTACCGAGGGTGACAAAGTGAGACTCTGTCTCTAAAAAAAAAGAAGTCTGGAAATTAGAAATTCTTGATTCAACTTGTAACAATATTTGCCAAAAGACAGCTTTCTTGGCATAGTCTTCAGTACATCAGCATCTTGTCCTTCTTTGCGTGAGCCTGAGTTCAGGTAGGTTTTCAACTGTTCCAGAGCATGTATCTCAGTTTCCTGCCAAGGTATGACCAGACCATGGAAAAGAAAGACACGTTCTTGGGGATCTAAAAGGCTGAGGAGCATGAGTTAGGGATTCTGTGGGATTTATGGGTTGGAAAGGACAAAAAGCCAGAGACAGCAGCCTATGCATAGCCATTGTGTTTTATTGGATCTGGTGTATTTCATATTTTACAAAATATACAGAAGACCCCCAAATCCAAAGCAGTCAACAGTGTTCTTATGGGAAAAGGGGATTCCTGGGGGCCCTTCCTCTCAGATCCTGGCTGACTAGGAAGGTGAGCTGAGTGGAACAAGCAGCTGTGTTAAGGGGTGGCAGCATGTCAGGGGTGCTGACAATTTGGTGTAACCTGAATTCTATAATCCCAACTCTCTAGGTATGCTTAGGGTCATCTCTGGGTAGACTGAGTAGAGCAAAAGGAGACCCTAGGGAATTGAGAAAGTTATGTGAGAGGCTGGGGTAAAGTCTGGGTTGATGTAAGATTCTACCGAATGTCCCCTACTGGGTTCAAATACTATGCCTTTCTCCCTCCTTTTTCCTTCTAAGGCAGTGGTTCTCAACCTTCCTAATGCCACAACCCCCTGTAATACAGTTCCTGTGGGTCGTGACCCACAGGTTGAGAACTGCTGTTCTAAGGCATCTGCTAAGGAGATTGATAGGACCCAAGTTCAGGAAGATGTCTAAATCATTTCATGTTTCTAAGTCTAGAGAACATAGCAAATGAAAACTCAAATCATAGCCATCAAAACAGGTGATGAGCAGGGAGGGTAGTTTGAAACATTAGCAGTTATCAGCCAGGTCATCTTCTACCCATATTTGTGGCCACTGTGCCACCAACACATGCAGGAAGGAGGGAAGAGGAAGAAACTATTCCAGGGATGAGCCAGATATCTGGAGCTCAGGCTCTCCTAGGAAATTGAGATGGGTATAGAAAATTTCTAGGGCATTTCCAAGGAAACTCATATTTTGATGGCCTGGGGTAGGAGACCTGTGGAACTTGGAGCTATAGCCTGGCATGCCTGAACTTTCATAATCTCCCCAGGCCTTTCTTTCTGTTCTCTATCTCAGCCACTTTCTAGGACCTAATAATCATTGACTTCAGCCCAAGATTTCTCCCTCCATATTCTTGTTTCCCTACCACAGGGCTCTCAAAGGCTGATCTGAAAAGCCAGCCAATGCAAAGGACAGAACATCCTCTTTGAGAAGGGAGTTTTAGAGGGAATGTTTATGAGATCAAGAATGGGAAGCACCATAGCAGGAGACATTTTGTCTAGGGTTGTGGTTTCTAGAGTGGAGGTGGGAGGTAGGGAACCATTTAATTCCTACAGCAAGGGGACCCTCAGCATTGTGTATGAGACAGGAAGGGAGTGAGAGCTCTTGGGAGTTGGGAACACCCCCTAAATCCACTCTCCCACTCTCTAGCTTCTTCAGCTCCAGGGATCTGGACTACTGAATCCCTCGGCTCTTGGATCCCTAGTGTCCCCAGAGTAGAGTCAGAATGAGGACAGACCTGGAAAGAGAAGATAAGATCTCCCTGAACTAGGGCTAGGACATGTTTCCCCCCAAAACACACTGACCCCCTCTCCTGGGGAGCTAGATGACATTGTCAAAGAGCTGCATGGATCTCATGATGTTTTCATCCTGTGGCCATGGTGTGAGAGAGGCAGATTGGAGAGAGAAAGAGAAAGAACTTGTCAGAAACAAGGACACTGAGGCAAAGTTGGGGACATTCAGAGGCAGAGAGGAAAGAGATACCCAGAGAGAAGTGGGAAAGGGGTAAGCCTCCCCCAGAGAAATAGAATTGGGGTTTGGGAGTGAGTTAGGGAAGAAGTATACTACCCAAAGGGACCTTTCCCTATGTCACTGAATCAAGTGGAGGGCAGGGACCCGTACCTTTTGACAAGATTCAATGAATTCCTCAATGGTGACTACACCATCCTTGTTTCTGTCCATCTTCTGCAAGAAGGTGGTCAGGCAGGGAGAACAGAAGAGAGGGCAAAAGAGAGGAAGGCAGAGTTAAGTTCTGTACTCATTCCCTTCACACCAAGGCCCTCCCACCTACCCAGTCCTAGGCACCTGGAAGAAGTTTTCCACATGTTCCCTTGGGGCCTCCTCTCGGAGTGCAGGGTAAGTGTATTTGCCCATCATGTCATAGATGGACTTCATGATGTCAAGCATTTCCTGTTAGGCAAAGACAGACGAGAATCTCTTCTCAGAGCCTCTAGCCTCCAGACCAAAGGCCCTAGGGCCTACAGCAGACCTCATCCCTTGCTGGTTGTACATATGTGGATCATGTTTCTCTCCCGTGGATCTTTGCACCACTCCCATGCCCACCTCACCCCCAATTCCCCAGCCCTTCAGTTGCCCTGCACCTCCTTGGTGATACAGCCGTCCTTGTTGAGGTCATACAGATTGAAAGCCCAATTCAGCCTGTCATCTATGGTTCCCCGAAGAATAACCGACAAACCAGCCACAAAATCCTGGAAAAGAGGCAGAGGGGAGCTTCAAATACCCTTAACCCAACACTTTCTTTTGTGTTTAGCCTGGACATCCTGGCCTTGAAGTCCCAGGAAAGTGTTCCTTGGGCCACCTCTTCCAGCTTACCTCAAAACTGACAGAGCCATCATGGTTGGTATCAAATGCATTGAAGAGAAAAGTGGCATACGTGCTGGAGTCTGTAGGATGAGGGCAGAGAAGTAAGTTTGGCTTGGAGACAGGAGAGGACTTCCCACCTCTATGGAGCTTCCCTAAGCCCCTCATCACTTTGGCATTCCAGAGCCCTCTCTCCCACTCAGTCTAGACATGGACTATTCCATCTACTTGAGCCTTGTCCCCTTACCTCCTTGAGGAAAGAACTGGGAGTAAATCTGCTTGAAGTTCTCCTCACTGACAATTCCGCTGGGACATTCCTGGGAGTGAAGGGAAACCAGGATAAGGGAAGGGATAAAAGAGATAAGGGAAGAGTCTCCACGGCCAGAGACTCCCAGAGAGAGAGAAAATTTTCCTGCCTCCCGGGGACCCACCAGATCTATTGATGGGAGCCAAGATTTCTTCCCCAGAGCACAAATAAAAAACACTGAACAAAGGCTGGAAGTTCGGTCTTGAAGCCCTGCCTCCCTCCTACCTCATTGATATCCAGACCTCCCTTTCTTTCTTTCTTTTTTTTTTTTTTGAGACAGAGCCTCAAGCTATCCCCCTGGGTAGAGTGCCATGGCATCACGCTCACAGCAACCTCCAACTCCTGGGCTGAAGCAAGTCTCCTGCCTCAGCCTCCCAAGGAGCTGGGACCACAGGCGCCTGCCACAACGCCTGGCCATTTTTTGGTTGCAGCCATCATTGTTGTTTGGCAGGCCCGGGCTGGGGATTCGAACCTGCCACCTTAGGTGTATGTGGCTGGCGCCTTAGCCGCTTGAGCCACAGGCGTTGAGCCCAGACCTCCCTTTCTTGAGAGGCCCTGCCCCTCCTGGCCCACCCCTGGCTCAGTTTAACTCTGTGCACTCACGTTCTTAAAGCCTCGGTACAGGACTTGCAACTCCTTGCGAGTGAACTTGGTTTGCTCCTGTAACTGCTCCAGACCTTCGGGCCGGTGACACACGGTGGACAGTTCAAACTCATCCTCCACGCTGTCTGCGGGGAGTGGTGGGGTGGAGGGGAGAGCCACGCCTCAGGCCCCGGCGATCCCTCTTCAAAATCACTGATCCATACCCGCTCCTCCCCGTCCCTGCCAGTGCCCTGGACCCCAAGCTGAGGCCATCAAGAAGGTGCTGGTCAGCTTCCAGGTCTCTCAGTGGGCCAAGGCCAGGCCTGGCCCTAGAATCAGGGATCCGATTCAGAGCTTGCCCCAGGGCCCTTAATCTTTGGTTGGAGGGGGAGAACCCAGCCACTTTTTCATGCCAGAAAGGGAGGAGAGGGAAAAGCCGGTTAGAGGAGACAGAGTCAGAGTTCCGGGCAATCCTTGACCAACTCAGATCCGCCCAGTCCTGTCCTTACCCCTCCCAGCTCTTCCCCTTCCCCCAGCCAAGCCCCACCTATCCCAGCCATGCCTAAGCCATGCCCCACCCAGCTTCATGCCCCTCTCCATCCAGACCACACCTCTGGCCCCATTTCAGCCACCCCTCCCCCACTCCAATGTCCAGCCCCCAGGCCAGTGCCCCCACCCATTCTCCCAAAGCACCCTCCCCGCCCTGTCCCCACCCCACCAGGAGAGTAAGTCACCTGGGTCCAGCGGGCGGGGTCTGTGGGGGCGAAGGGAGGCTGGGGCGGCTAATTCTGAAGGGAGCGAACTGTCACCGAGAAAGCGGAAGACCCGGCGAACTGCAGACATACACCTCGCACCTCACACAGCAAATCTCACAGACCTGTGCGTTACAATGCTCACTCCCTAGCCCCTGTGCAAAGGCACACCTAACGAACACAGACATACACAAAATGGACCCCATGCACACAGCTTGCAGGACTCACGTCCCTTCTTCCAAATCCACCTCTGTGTGGAACTCATGGAAATCGAACACAACAGTACACTCAAATAACTACAAAATGGGCTTTTATGGCTTGCAAAATGCAATATGATCCTAAGAGGTAGGTGAGGCTCCCCTGAGGACACGGAGATTTAGAGACAAAGCAAGGTCACTCAACTCCAGGTCACTCAACTGGGGACCAGACAAGGACAGAAAACCTAAGTACCCTGGCCTATGGAGGACGGTGGGCTTCACCCTCTACACTTGCAACCATTCTGTTGGGGCAGGGGCGACATACATCTCGAGACTCAAAGCACACTCAGGGCAGGGCGGCCACACATAGACATAGACACTATCTCAGCTAAGCCACCCATAGACCCTCGCAGCTGACTGGTCCTCCCGACACTGTCACAATAGCCATAGCCACGCAGGCTCGGGCCTCAGCCCTGCCACACTGGCAGAGTCCAAACATCCAGGTGCTGCGGAGTTGTGCACACTGGTGACGCCCACAGAAACTCGGCCGGCCCCAACCACACAAACCTACTCCAACCGCGCACATAGCCACGCCCCCTCATGCTCCGGCCCACCCAAATGCCCACCCTGCTCCCTCCACACTGGTCACGCCCACACACATTCCGGCCCCGCCCCCAGAAGCACAGGAGAGGCACTTGCTTTCACTGACTGAGGGCAGGGCTTGGGGCCCGCAGCACGGCAGCAGCTTGAGGAACCGCTGCTTCAGCGCTTTTTTAGTGGGCCCTGGAGGGTGGCCTGGTAAGAGAGAAGATCCCAGGAAGGCACATTAACTCCCAGTTTGCCTCTATTCCCTGTCCCCTCCCCGACGGTCACAAATCAACTCAAGCTGGGGACGGGAGCTGGGAGAGGAATGAGGTGAGGAGGGAGAGGAATGGCTGGGGTATCTGAGGCTGGGTTAGGGAAGCCCAATGGGTCTTACAGGCATGGAAAGTCCATAGGGGTCGTGGGGGGGAGGGCATTTTGTACAGTAGGAGGTTGTTGACGACAGCAGGTGGCAAAGAGGAACTGGCAGTGGCTTCAGTGTCTTTGCTGACTGACCCAGTGCCCTTGGCGCTCAAGGTGATGTCCAACCCAAGGATTACCTGGGTGGGAACACCTCTCACACACATACAGTGACAGACATGTATAGTGACATGTAGAATGATAAATCAGAGAGTGCTGGATGCCAGTAGCAGCTTAATATCCAGTAACTCATACCCAATGGCTTAATAAGCACACTCCAACACACACACATACATATACACACACATTATGACCAAGTAGTCCTTAACACAAATATACAAATGTGATCTGAAGTAAAATCTGGCACATATACATGGAGACCTATGTAGGCCATCTCACACACAGCATGATCAAACCATAGAACACACAATGATCCTGGGACATCATCACACTGTGTATAAAAACACGATGACACATTGTGACCTTATGACACATATTAAGATTGTCATGATACATGCCTATATCATAGTGTGACCTAAGTCTCCATGGTACCCAGATACCTAAGGCTGTACCTCATCTACAGATGCTTCATTTTTCTTGGGTACATCCACTTTTCTTTCCTGTAACCCCTCATCTTAAAGAGCAGGGTTGCTTATCAGCTAACTCATCTACCCTAAATTGTGGCTTTCTCCCTGTCCTTTCCTGTATGACTTGCTCTTTGAAAGTGAAATGATATAAATTGATGCAATAACAGATCTTGGAGATGGAGATGAATATTTTGGTGTGTTAAAGGGCTATATAGGGGGTGGCACCTGTGGATCAGTGAGTAGGGCGCCAACCCCATATACTGAGGGTAGTGGGTTCGAACCCAGCCCTGGCCAAACTGCAACAAAAAAATAGCTGGGCATTGTGGCAGGCGCCTGTAGTCCCAGCAACTCGGGAGGCTGAGGCAAGAGAATCGCCTAAGCCCAAGAGCTGGAGGTTGCTATGAGCTGTGACGCCACGATACTCTACCAAGGGCAATAAAGTGAGACTCTGTCTCTAAAAAAAGGGGGGGGGCTATTTAGGGCCCATTGGTAACCACTCTCTTCTCTTCCCCTTATTTCTGCACATGACCTATAGATCTAATTGCACCCCAAGAGGGCCTCTTGTCCTGGGATACAAATTAGTATCTATATATGTCTGTATGTGTCTCCCAGCTGCACTTATTTCCAGATTCCTGGGCCAAAACCCACTGGACCTGCCACACTGGCTATAGCTGGCCTCAGTCCATTCTTGGAGGGGCCTAACTTTTCTTAGTTATAGGTTACTCCTCAACACAGGCTCCACCCTCAGGACCAGACCCTGCTCCCAGGAGGTAACTACCTCCTTCTCTCCAATACTTCTTCACTTCCCCCCTCCCACCCCAGGAGCTGTGGAGAGGCCAGGATCGATAGTGGCCTGGCATCCAGCCTGGGGGGCCATTAGCATGGACTTTGGTTTCCTGAAGGGACTATGCCTGCCTCCAATGGTGTAGTTGCCTGATTGAGGGGTGGCTCTCCACTTCCCACACTCCTCACTACCCTCCACCCCTCCACCCGTAAGCCCCCTGCCTGTTCCCAAGTCTGTCACCTCTAGGCTGATAAGGTGGGAAGAGGCACCTTCAGCCTACAGGTTACTTGGGTTTCCCATATGGCCCTTTTCCCCCACAAAATAGTCTAAAAGGGATGGCAAGTTACAGCCCAAATAACTCCATCTTTTCCAGGTTGGATAACAACAGCCTCAGCCCAGCCTCCCCATTTCATGTAGGTCTAACTCGCTTTTCCTGCTTCACCCCAATAAATGCAGCTAGAGGGTAAGCTAGGGGTTTTCTACTCTTATTCAACCCTAGAATGGGCAATTCATGGACCTTCCTCCTGTTTCTAGTTTCCTTCATATCTTTCTTGTTTTCCCAAATGTCTACCCTGTAGTCCCCTATCATGGTTTTTGCCTGTCTGCCTGTCTTCCTGTCCACGATAGAACTGGGGAACAGGCATGCTATGGAATTGCACAGCTCTTGGTGTGAAGAGGAGGGGGAAGCCAAAACTCTTAAGGGGGTGGCAGAAGTGCTTCCAAATCACTCTCCCTAATTACTTTGGGATGGGATGGGGAATTGGTTTCCCACTCCCAACGTTTTGGCCCTGAAGATCTTTCTGCCCTGTATCCTGAGAGAAACCTGGAGTGGCAAGGTGGCTTGATCTGACCCATTCCTCACTCCCCAGCTAAAGCTGAGGTATAGATGCCTCCTCACAATATTCCTACTCCTGGCTCTTCAGAATCTACCCTAGGCTTGGGTATGGAGCTGGTATATCCTCAGGAAGTCTGAAAACAGCCATACATAAAACTCGATGCTGAAAGAGGCTCAGCCACACACCCTGTCCCATTTGGGCACAGTCACATCCACCATCTCACAAAGCCACATGTCCTGTCACTCTGACACATGCAGTCACACTCATCATATACAAAGGCTCACATAGTGATATATTTTGTCTTCTCTCACACACATGAACACACAGTCACACCTGTGTCTTACACACTGAATCCACACACATCCCTTAATCTACACTGCACACATGGAGCTGTGGTGAGTCACACCCATTTTCAGGCTCCAAAAGGGAGTCCTCAGAAAGCTGGTGTTATCTCAGGATGGCTGGAATCTCTTTCCTCTATTCCAGACACCAGTCTCCAGACCCCTCCTCATATCCCCCAGAATCTCCTTACTTCCTCATCTCCATGCTCCAGTTCTCCCACATCACACCACTCAATCAACTCACCCTATCTCCCAGATTCCCTCCTCCCTAACCCATATCCACTCCTTGAGGGGTCCCTTTATCTCTCTCAAATGTGTGTTCTCCAAGCACCCCTCCTCACCTCCCCAGATGTCTATCCCATCACTCACCTGCTCACCTCTGCCTTCAGTCATGAAAACAGAGCAACTCCCTCCCCAATGCTGTGGGACAGCTAACCCTCCGGCCAGCAGCTCAGACACACCCGCCCAGACACCTGAGTTACCTTCCAAGGAGACAGGCTCAAAGAGGCCAAACTGCTCCAGGACCTTAACAAACAGAGCGAGGACTACGAGCACAGCGACCATCTCCAGTCCTTCCAGGTTCATGGTGGGCCCAGAGCATGGCTCCCACCCAGCTGAGGCTCTGACACACTGCTGGCTGGCCACCTCACACCACCTTCCCCTCAGACTCCCCAGCCTGAGTAGGACTGCCTGCAGCCTCCCTCCCTCTCTCCCTCCCTGGATCTCCTCCCTCTCCCCCCTCACCCCGCCTCTGCCCCACATGCCTCTCAGCCACAGCAGCGCCTCTTCCTCTTCCTGGGGCCACCACAGCCTTTGGACTGGCACCTCCTCAGGAATCCTTGGCATAAAGAATAAGGACCAGGACAGGATAGGATATGGGCAGAAAAGGGAGGCAGTGACCTGCCTCTGTCCCTTCAGGAGCACTACTTTCCAGATACCCTGTGGCTACTCTGTGCCAAAGGGAGGGGGCAGAGGGAGGAGTTATGTTTAGGCAAAGGCAGGAAGGGCAAGGTGTGTGTGAGAAACCATATCTGCACATGTACAAGTGGTAGATTTGTGGATCAGAATATGTTATGGTTGTCTAGGTGTTTTCCTAGATATATATTCCTGTGGTTGCTGGTATGGAAGTAGATTGGTCTCCTCTTATGTGTGTCTCTGTGTATTTACATGTGATTGTGCAACTGTCACAGAACTGTTTCGTGTATGCTAATGCATTTCTACTCTTGTGTATGGGTATGTGACTTTTATGTATGTAGTATACATGTAAGACAGTGTGTCAGAGTATTTCTGAGTGTGTATGAGGAGTGAGGTTTCTGTGTTTTACTAGAGTTGTGGGATGTGAATCTGAAGTTTGTTAGCCATGGGTGTGTCATATAATTTGGACTATGGGTCTATTGTGTCATTATTTCAGCATGAAATTGTATGAGAATATAAGGGCAGGGAGGAGGCAGTGACCTCTCCTGTTAGGAGGACACCACCATCATCATCATCATCATCATCATCATCATCATCATCGATCTGGTTGCCATAGAGACTGTAAGGCAGGAAGCACTCTCTTCCCACAGGCCACAGACCTTGAAACTGAGGCCCAAGGGAGAATTAGGCCCAATAGCTTGTGCAGGAAGAAGGCTGCTTAGCCTCTTCCTGAGCCTCTGGGGAGGGGACTTATTGCAGCTGTCTTTAGGACCAAGAGACCCAAGCTCCTTGGAAGAGGAAGAGGGCCTTAACTGGCTGGGACCTCACACAGGACATGTCAAAGCCTACCTGCTCCTTGGCAATCAGTTACTGAGCAGAGAAAAAACCCCAGGATAGGAGGGACATCTGAACCCTGTGAGGAAGCACCCCCCCACCCGCCCCCGCATTCTTGGAGTCCCTCTTTTTCCAGGTTCCTTCCAAGGGGTGGCAGTGTTAAAGTGTATGTGTGTATCTCTGCTCCTTCCTGATGGGATATGCAGGTGTGTCCCTGCTCCTTTCTGGTGATGTGCACGGTGTGTATGTCTCTGTTCTTTCCAGGTGGGTGGTGTATATGTGTTGTCCCTACTCCTTCCTGGGCTGTGTATGTGTGTGTGTTTGTGTGTGTCCCTGCTTTTTCCTGGGTGTGTGTGTGTCCCTGCTGTTTTTTGGGGTGTGTGTGTATGTGTATCTCTGATTTTCCTTGGGAGTATGTGTGTATGAGTGTGTATATCCCTGCTTCTTCCTGATGTGTGTGTAGTGTTTATGTCTCTGGTGTGTGTATGTGTGTAGG